TCAATGAATGAACAAGATGGTATAGTTGCTACTCACCAAATTTCAAATTTCGATGTCAAATCATTGAGAAGTTACAGCTCTAGCCGTTTTTTATGCACACCTCTGTATATCCCACATGAGTATGGGTCCGTTGAAATCAGTGCACTCTTGAAGTATAGTGAATAATTTCGTTTGATTCGGAAGAGAGCCCAAATGCTGATAAACCTCGACAGCTTCGAGAAATTTTGTCAGAGATGATTTCTCGATTTTGTCACGAATTTTTTAGTCACTTTTTTAGTCACTTCAGAAGAACACTAAATTAAACGGACTCACTGTATACAAATTCGATGTGTGATATATTTTGCAATTGAATAATATTCAGGATTTTCAATTCGAAAAAAGCATCGAGCACATCATGAATCAGACGTGAATCATTTTGTAAATTTGATTTCAGATTTCGAATGTGGAAAAATGGAAATTAAATTCGACCTGTTACAATAGATTCCTCAAAAATGGATAAATTAGCCTAAAATGAATGTATACGAGAATCCTGCTTGATGTGACGAATTTTCTGTTTACAAACCCTGAGTGTGGTATATGTTTGAATTCAGCTTTCCATAGAGATTCTAAGAATTGAATAGTATTTAGGAAAAATTCACGCGGACATGATAATTCCAACGTGAATCTCCCTGTATATCCAATTTCCCTGTACGAATGTGGCGAATTGAAATTGAAAGTCGAATCAATTCAAGAGATTCTTCAGAAATTAATAGTTTGACTAAAAATCAATTCGTTCAGTACTTTACGGAAGCACTGTATGTCTGTCTGGCTTAGCGTTAGCACCACTAGGACGGTCAGGATACTGAGGAAACAGGTTCTGATTGTGTCCCAAGTAACATGTCATTGTATACAGTTGAGCTTTAATACTAACGGAAGGTGAGTTTAATTTCACCAAGGTTCAAGGGTGTCTGGCAAGGGGTAGGCACCATGGTGACGTGTCTGGCAATTGGTGACGTGGTTTGTGATATTTTCCTGAATTAAATATGAAAATAAGAATACCCTTTATAGTGTGACGAAAGTGGTATTTGGTATTTACAGCACCTTTGCTTCCTCTAACTTTCCATCGTTCTTAACTGTGTTGGGAGCATGCGCTAAGCCACTTTCGGCTTTCATAAAATAACGAAGGTATTGCTTTCATGGGATCTTGATGCTCTATACTGCAAACTGGAATTTGATCAGTGCGCTTCTGGGTTATTGTTTCACTCAGCTTTCCAATGAAGGGTCGAAAGCCATAGGGTTGCATTTGAAAAAACATATTTGGGCTGAGTCCAGCTACTCCTGAAGGGTTTCATATTATTCATAGTGCTCGAAAAATTTAGGTGAACTCATCAAAACTTTGACGTGTCTTAAGAATTTTCAGAAAAATCATTCACCTCTCCGCTAGGGTTCTTATTCCAGTTGATGTCTCCACACTGTATATTGATGAATGCGAATTGCGAATAGTGAAAAAATATCTACCTATATACTGAATGATATTCACGAGTATGGAAGACTGGTCTGGTCTGATCTCTCAACATGAAATGATGAAATATTGATATCATACCTCAGAAGCAGAATAATTTTTATAGTAGTGTAGTATATGTAGTAGTAAAAACAGTTGCAGTACCATAGGTGTATCAAAATTCCAGTTGTTTCTGGAGGAGCACTTCAACCAATATTGTTGACATGAAAGAATGCGTTACTGACTTTCCATGTGATTTCAATATTTTTTTATATTAGGCTACTAATGTAACAAATCTTCCAGCTCTCGAGGTGTTTCCGTATCCTGCTCTATTTTCGATAAAAAGTGAAAACCACTTTATTGCATGTCCATGAACCACAGAAAAGCCATACGAAAACACGAACCAAATCTATGACCTAATTTTGACGCAAAAATATAGTATACTATTTTTTTCAATAGCGTTTTGCTTTCGATTTGAAACAAATTTTGAAAAACTTGTATGTTGAAAATAAAACGATAAACACTTTCATATCTGATATTTGGATCAACGATTTCAAGCCTAGCAAAGCTTTTCACGACGAATAACATGTTCTCCTGAAATTGATAAAAAAAAAAGTTTCAAATTTGTTGCCAACTATTCCAGACTAAGATACTGTTCATATACAGGGTGTTCCTTAAGGACGTAAGGAAAATTAAGGAGCATGTTGATGACGTTGAGATAAGTAAGAAAGTTTTCATGAATATATTTCCGAAAGTTATTCGTGTCTGAGATACAGAGTGTCAAAGTTGAATTTTTATTTTTGTTTTTTGTTGATAAATCTCGAAATGATTGTGTTATTCGAATTCAGTTTGGTACCTAGGGGTATTTTTCAATGACCATATCAAATATTATGTTAGTTTGTCTCGTGGGGGTGGCGCCACCTACATGTCTTTCGAGTTTTTTGAAGTCATACCTTTTTTGTGCGTACCTGTATCACGTTTTATAGTAGAAAAATATATTCCTAGAACACTTTCGTGAAAAAAATATATTTCCAGTAGAGGTCGCTGCGAGCAACTGTTTTTGAGTTATTGGGATTTGAAATAATCGATGAATTTGAATAATTTCCATAGAGTCGTACGATTTCGCGCAATTTTTCTCGTGCTTGTCTGTGGATCTTCTTCAATCGCCTGAGGAACAGCTTCTTCAATTTCTGGAGTCCTAGTATATAGTCAACGGTCTGCCTATCACTGGAGCTTTTTTGAAGTGTCCATAATCAAGCCGTCGAAAAAGGTTTCTGGTGTCTGGTGAGTCGGCAGTCGATGATTAGGGAATCTTTCATTCGATTGTTATTTCTTGAATTGAAAGAGTCCAAAAAATTAGGTATGTATGTACAAAGAAATGAGGATCATTTTTTGCTAATTGAATTGCTGAAAATATTCAATGGATGAAGGAAAATGAACTGGCGTATCTTTCCAGATATTAACTACTCACAGGCAACTAACGAGCCCCATGGAAATAATTCAAACGCATCGATTATTTCAAATTCCAATGACAAGAAAATCTCACATGAAAACCTATATTTTTCACACGAAAGTATTTTAGAAATCCATTTTCCTGTCATGAAACGTGATACAGTTACGCACAAAAAAGTTATGACTTTTCGAAGTATTCAAAAGACATGTAGGTGGCGCCACCCCCACGAAAGAGACAATGCATCATACAATTTGATTGCGTCATTGAAAAATACCCCTAGATACCAATTTTTATTCTAATATCACAAATATTCCGAAATTTATCAACAAAAAACAAAAATGAGAATTCAACTTTGACACTCTGTATCTCAGATAGAAAGAACATTCGGACATACATTTATACGAACTTTTCTTTTTATTTCGACGTCAGCAACATGCTCCTGAATTTTTTACACGTACTTGAGAAACACCCTGTATAATTATTATCATATATACAGAGAAGTGCACGACCAAAGGGACACTGCTGTAACTTCTGAATCATTCGAGATCGGATTTTGGAAATTGGAGGGTGGCAAGTATATTGAATTGCTCATTGATTGACAAGACAACTTTTGTTCGATAACTTTCTGGTTCACCAGAAACGAAACAAAATTTGTAACACTAAAACAGTAACGAAAGATCTGAGGAATATTTGACAAGTCATCAAAGTCGAGAATCTAATAATTTCATCAACTGTTTCGAATAGTAACATCACAACATTCTACTGAATAAATTATATGATTTGAACATTACTCCCACCTTGCAGTTCCAGACATAATATGTTTTAACCACACGACCACTTCTTGTTTTCACAATCTTCTTGTTTTGAGAAGTATCGTGTTTATTATCAATTTCAGTTTTATTTTGAGTACTATGAGCTGATATTTTCAATGGAATATTCGACTGTAAAATACTATATTTAAACAGAGGGGTTCTTCAAGGATCAGTGTTGGGTCCAATTCTTTATCTATTATACATTCAAAATATTGAAAAAATGAGATCGATAGGAAACTATACCATATAATATGCAGTCGATATAGTGCTTCTATATATTATAGGGATTTCCTTTCGTGCGCTCCAAGCGATAACAAAAAGAAATAATAAAGAAATACAAATAAGAAAAAAAAGTTCTTGAACGTAATATCATGAATGGAAACTTGAAAAAAATTGAGAAATGGCTTTATTCCAATCTTTTTTTTCCAATTCTAATAAGACTCAATATAAAATTTCTTGCCAAAGAAATAAATAGAATATTGATCTTGATATAAGAATGGAAAATGAACGTTTGAAACAAACTGCTTATACCAAATACCTTGGTTTTTGGATTGATAAGAAATTGACATGGAAAAAGCATATTGTCATCCTCATAGGAGAAGTATTCCCCATTATTGGTTCTTCAAGAAGATGTCCTGAACCGAGTACATAAACAATAATATGGCGATGGAGAAATTCGATACTATAGTCATGAAGACTAATATTATGTGGATTTTACTGTTCTTTGGCGCTGTTTCATGCGATGAAGTAACTATTCCATACATTGCTGTGAAAATAATTCCTAGCCCTATTCAATGGTTCAAACAACCAATATGACACCAAAAATGAGGGGGAGGGTTGAATGGTAAATCTCTCAAACTGATAAAAATAGAATATTTCTGACAATCCCAACTTCTTCGTCATAATCAATTATCTGCTAACGAAGAATTTCAACTCCTTTCTGATATTCACCAAGACAATGATTCATTAAGTGATCCTCAATTCTTCCAAATCAATTCAGGAACGGCGAAACTTCCTTCAAGTTGTTAAACTTCATTGATAAAACATGTCTCATATAATCAACTCTCTATCTCTTATCGTTTATAGAAAGTATCATTTGTGATCCTTATAATTTGATATCTACTTATCATCATAACCATAAACTGAGATGGGAAATGGAGAAATAAGTTTTAATCAACCCTCAGACAGTGAAATGTGAACATCACCTATTCGTCACGTTTCTGGAGTCTGAAGTATATTTCCTGATAATCACGATTTGAATGCTTATTTTTTATTCGTTGAATGAACTTGTGGGCATATCAATCACATTACCTTGATAGTGAATACATTTGAAAAATTTAAGTCTAATCTTGAGTCTATCCAATTATCCGATTCCTCCTCCTGCCAAAGAAGCTATTGCAGCACTACTGATTCCCGGTGGAATTGGTGCAGATGCAATCACTGGTTTCATCCATTCGAATACAGTAGCATCAGTTACATCCGAATCAGTGGTTGATTGTGATGATTCCATGGTTTGATTCGATGTCGTTTTTCCCGAAGGACTATCTTTCGATGATTCATACAAGCCAGGCACTCGTCTGGGGATGACCTCTCTTCTCGCATTGTATCCTGTTTCGTCTGCTTTATATACAACCCTATACCGTTTGTCATTACTCCCAAGGTATGAATAAAATCCAGTAACACGTAATATAAGATTATTTCCTACTCTATCTAGTACTCCTTTTTCTTCCCTTTCTTGACCTCCACTTGTTTCATACCTGCAAAATGAATAATATAAAGTGTTAGTACAACTGATCTATACCAACAATAGTGGAATATCTGAATCTTGAACAGACTCTGAAAGGGATTATTATGTGAATGACGCATGCTCAAGGAATTGATGGAAATTTCAATGTTCTCTACCCATGAACATGAACGGTTGGTAGTTGAGAAATAGCCCAGCAAACATTGAACTAGCGGGAGAAGTCCGGCCTAGTGCAGGCTAGTCTGGGAAAGTGACGATGCCGGGGTATTGGTAATGGGCCGATGATTTTCCTATGCCAAGTAACCATCAGTTAAAAATACGATGATGGCCCTGTGATGGTGAGATGTCTGGAAATAATTGAATACTAACGATATCTGGCCCTTTGCTGGCCAATTTCATGTTCGCTACTCGTCCCCCTGGTGGATGTTCTGGGAACGTAGACATCAACAATCAGCTGATAAATATTATATGTGACTAAGATGGCTGACTCTCGTGAGTAGTGATCGCGTACTAGTTTGCTTATGTCGAATCAATGTGGTCCTCTCTTTCCCTGGTGGTTATATACAGGGTGGCCCACTTATGCTCGCTCGGACCATAGCTGCTATGCTGATAGAGATAGAAAAAAAAATTCATCGGAAGTTATTGGAGACTCCATAAGCTACTCTTCAAAATTATTTTCTAGTATACAGGGTGCACCATGAATCCGGGGTGAAAGAATCGATCGTTTTTTTAAATGGCACACCCTGTATATTATTTCATTTTTGGAATCTCTCTTATGTGGGCTTCACAAACCTATTTTGTTTTTGAAGATCAGATGCGACGTTGTCAAGTTATTAACATTTTAATCAAATTTTACGAGAAAACATGAATGTTGAAAAATATTCAGGGAAACTATATTTTCGAAGATTCATGAACAAAACTGGGTAAACATATACTGAAAGTATGTGTAAAAACTCAGACATTATTTGGGTGCACCCAAAATAAGGACCGAATTTCGCTATTTCCAAATCGCCGAAACACATTTTTTTCAAATGGATCACCCTGAATATTATTCCATAATCTGAAAGCTCATCCAATGGGCTTTTCGTTGATACCATATAGACCGTATCCAACGATACTCTTCGATAGGTAAATAACGATAAATCAATTCAACTGTACATTTTTATTCAAAAACAATAACAAACCTAGGGAAAATTCAAGTGACAATCAGAAATGTTCAAACTCATAGAACATATCAGTTCATGAGATGTTCAAAATGTGTTCCGTTCTGCTGGATACATTTTTGAGCTCGATGTTCAATCGAATTCCTTACTTTTGACAACATTTCTGGTGTTATATTTGCAAAAGTTTCCCTTATCCTCATCTTCATGTTTTCTTTCGTTGTTACTGGTTCCGAATACACTTTGTCCTTCACATAGCCCCATAAGAAGAAATCGCAAGGGGTCAAGTCTGGCGACCTTGCAGGCCAGTGTATTGGACCTCCTCTACCAATCCACCTATCTCGAAAACGCTCATTCAACCACTGGCGGACTGGTGCTACAAAATGTACTGATGCACCGTCTAGTTGAAACCACATATTATTCAACACATTTTGTGGTACACGTTGAAGCATCGCTCCCAAATGATTTTGTAGAAAATCTGAAACTACTACTCCATTTACCACACCATCAAAAAAGTAAGGGCCGATGACGTAATTATCAATAATACCTCCCCAAACATTCAAAGACCATCTTTCTTGGGAAGTGGTTCTGAATAAATGAGGATTTTGATCCGAATAATAATGATAGTTATGACGATTCACCGCGCCATTCTTGTGAAATGTAGACTCATCAGTGTGAAGAACCTTTCTCGAAAAATTTCTGTCAGTGTTGATCTTCTCAATTAACCACCTACAATGTTCTATTCTGCGATTGAAATCCTGTGGTAGAAGTTCCTGGTGTAATTGTATATGGAATGGATGAAATTTATGTTTCATTATTATGCGTTGAACTAAAGATCTTGAAATTTCTACATATTGGCTCAATTCTCTGCTACTTATATTCGGGTTTTCAACCACAGCCGTCATCACCATCATCTCGTTCTCTTCGGTTAAAACAGTAGCTCGCTTTTAATGTTTCATATAATTCACTGAACCACTTCTATTGAATCTATCAGCTATATTTGAAAAGCAATCAACTTTTGGTCGTCTTCTGTCAGGATATCGTTGGGCATATACTCTACTTGCCAAAAGACAGTTCTTTTGACACTCACCCAAGATGTATATCATTTCAATCAATTCGTCCTTTGAATAATTCATTACCAAACAGTAATGTGCTACACCAAGAAGAGTAACTGACAACTGTTTATGTCACTAAAACTTCTGTTGAAATGTAATTGATGAATCTTGTTGTAGAAACTGTCAAGATGTTCATCTGTTTTCAGTGATTGCTTTTCATTCATCTCGAAAGAGTGATAAACAATAATTATCCACGTGAATTGAGCTATCTAAATAAAACAATCAAAGATTGACTCCGGAAAACATATTCTATGAAAAATGACACTTCAAACACCTCATCGAACAGGATTTCTTCCAAATTCAATCCATATTCAAATACTTCGAATCATAAATATTTTCAATATACGTTCGTTAATGTGGGTCCATATACATCATCAGAACGTATCGACACAGACCGTCGATTAGTAGGAATTTATGTGACTAGAATAGTAAGAAATCAGAATAGCAAATCATCAGAACCATATTTCAGCGACTGCAATATGTACAACCCGTAATTTGTCGAACCGTACTTTGACAGACTGCATTATGTCAGAATGCATAAATCACAATAGTATATCGAAAGACTGCCATATATTCAGAAGTGTACTTTGCCAAACCAGTAAATAAAATACTCTTCATGTCGTCAGAATCATAAAAATATATAATCGTAAAGTCATAGAACCGTAAAAGCACAGACTGTAATTCAGCGACCCGTACTCTGTAGACCACCATTCCATCAGAATAAACATTCCCGACCAGCAAACTGGCAGAATTGTGATGTACAGAATCTGAAAATGGCAGAATGCGAAAAGTTCATACCCGTTAAAAGACAGACTGTCGATTTTTGATACCCGTAAAATGAAAGATCCGTACAATGACAGACTCGTAAAAGCACAGACTGCCAATACTCTAGATCCGTAAAATGCAAGAACCGTACATCGACAGACTCATAATCCATCGGACTACCAGAATTTCCGATCCATAATTCATCAAAACCGTAAAACGACAGACCCGTAAAACAGAACAGAATCGTGAAATGACAGACGCGTACAATGGCAGAATCGTGCAGCTACCAAACCCGTAAATTTTCAGAATTTTTTGGATTAAGACCCGTGAAATAGCAGAACCGTGAAATGGCAGAACCGTACATTGACAGACCCGTAAAACATCAGAACCGTACATCGACAGACCGTCAATATACCAGAATGTGTGAGACGCGTGGAGACTCGGAACAAGCGGTAGCGCATTGTTGCCAAGTTGAATCGATAGAAATTCCTTGCTATACCTACTCAAATCTGATTCAAACTGTTTTATGAAGAATTCTAGAGGGCTGAGAAAGGTTCGTACATTGTAGTATTTGTGTTTGATAATCTGTCTGATCCGAATCAGGAAGATATTGACATGATAATTTGATTGTATCTAGATAAAGAAGTATATATCATTCTCTTTGTTGAAAAATCATATAACAAAACATCAGACATGTGAATATAACGATGTTTTCTATGTATAATAGGTGAATCTATTCTTGGAGATTCTATGAGGCAGAAATGGAATCATTGTATGTCCATTTCTGAACATATAAATATTGGAGAAAAACCTCAAACTTTCAAACTTTTCTATAGTCCAATGGTCTGAGATTCGGATCAGAGTGTATACCTTTCAATTTGATTCTCCAATTAAATAGTAGATAATATAAATAAAGAACTTGTAGCATTTGTATATCGCTATTTCGTTTCGGGAAACCTACTCCCCAAGAGTTTTCGAATCTAGTGATTTCTTATTGTCAATTGTGCTTAAATCCCTCACATGACTTCAGTTATAGATTATATACAGGGTGTCCCAGAATTGCTCTACTTGAAGTAGAGGTCAAAATAAGTTGATTGGACCCAATTCGTTTATATACCAAAATGTTCCGTTCGTCAATGGGGTACTTTGTATGTGATCAATGAGGTACTTTGTATGTGATCAATTTCATTTGCGTTTCGGATATCATAATGACTTCATTCATCTTCCATGAAATGTCAAATCTCAAGCAATGACGGCTCGAAATACCGCCTGTTGGTTGATCGAGGAGGTGTTACATACATTTTACTTGATTATTAGGGATTTTCCCTCCTCGCTTCTACAAAATAATAATATGAGCATAATTTCAATATACAGTGTGGTCATTTGAGTGTGCAACATATGGGAATCTTCTTAATGAATTGCACAACCAAAATACAGATAGTGTCAAGAGTTGGTGCATGTTCGATCATCATTTCAGGTGCACTCAGAATAGTTGCAAGTCAAACAGCATACAGGGTAGGTAAAAAGATATAAAAAGTGCTCAGGAGTGAAGTACCCGTATTTCAAAAAATTCAGCAGAATGTTATTGAGAAAAGTTGTTCCCAATCAAAATTCATACCTTAATACCAAAACATGACTTCCCAAGACATTCTTCAGTTCTTCAATTCCTTTCGTTAATAAATTCCCATTTTTTTTTCAAATTCAAGCATATTTTTGCATTCAACTTGGATTTCAATTATTTTAGGAAATCACAAACTTCATGTTTAATGCAACGATATTCAGCTCAACTTTGAAATTTTGCGAACCCTATTTTCAACAAGGTAAAACATCATTAATGATAATATGCATATTCAAAAACCTTCATTAAATGTGAACATTTTGTATTTGAAATGTTTATGAAAAAGCTGAACAAATTGATCGACAACCATGATATCTTTTGAAAAATCACGGACACCCAAAAAACAGAACAAATG